CTATTTTTTGGTTGCAGCCGTCATTGTTGTTTGGCGGGTCCGGGCTGGGGATTCGAACCCGCCACCTTAGGTGTACGTGGCTGGCGCCTTAGCCGCTTGAGCTATAGGAGCCGAGCCCTCTCATGAGTCTTTATGCAGAGTAAGGCCCTACTGATACCTTGACTTCAGACCTCTGGTCTCCAGAACCAAGAATCAGTAACTGTTGCTTTAAGCCATCCAGTTTATGGTACTTTGTTAGAGCAGCCACAGGAAACTCAATATGCACACACTTAGGGGCCTTGAACTATTTAGTGTCCCCTAGGCACTCTAGGCCAGGAGATGACATTCCTCATACCAAAGAAAGCAAGGAAGGGGGCCCTGGTAGATTTGGGGTTTCCCAGAATACCTACCAATAAAACCATGGAGGCCCGTGTCCCAGGGGGCCGTGGGGGCAGCTGGAGATAAGTGGAGGAGCCAGAGGGTGTCTGGGAGGAACATTGAAATAGACAAGTGTAGAAATTGGCATAGGCTTAGTAACAAATATTAGAGTGGGCATGTCCCAAATTGAAGTGCTTTGAGGTTCAGAACCGGTTCCCCAACCTCCTCAACTACCTACTCTTATACAGCTGTGGGGATACCGAGGATGATTATAAATGCACTGGCCCGGCTAAACAGCCCCAGGGCTGAAGGAAGTTGCAACCTTCTCTCACTCTCACATTTGTGTTAACTATGGATACTGTGGGCTACAATCCCATGATCCTCAGAGTAATAGTAGGTGGCCAACTTGGGGACGAAAACTGGGGACACAAGGCAGACACAAACCACTCTACCACTCACGTTCCTGGCTTGGTAAATAGTCTGGACTACAGTTCCCATGATGTTTTTGGAGGAAAGGCCTGGGATCAGTGGGGGATGTAGTCTCCTCCCCCTTACCGCTCTGCTCACCTGTGTTCTGGGCTCCTGACTCCAGGGCTGAGGGCTTCTGGGGGGTCTTCCTCCCCCAGCCTCACAGGAAGGTCCTCGGCGGGGTGTGGGAGGTCGGGAGAGGGTCTGGCGTTGGGGGGCTGAATCCAGAGGAGGCCGGACATCAATACGACTAAGAGGGGTGTGAGGTCGGGCAGGCAGTGCTGTGTCTCCTGAGGAGGGAGGGAGTCGCCGGGCAGGAGCAGAACGGGGTCGGGGGAGGCTCAGAGGAGAGGGTGAGCGTGATAGAGGTGTGAACAGGCTGTGGGAAGAAGAGAATCGGAAAACTGAGTCAACTAGAGCCTCCTCCATCCACCTTGACACCCATCAAGTCAGCCCCCAGGACAGGTCTTACTTTCCCTCTGGAGTAGAATCCTCTACTGTTCAGATTCTGAATAATTTTCTCTTGGGGGTAACTCCTCCTTAGAACTTTTCCCCAACAGACCATAACACCACAGGGACCCCAGAAACCCACACACATTCAGGCAGATAGCGCCAGCAAACCCCCACCCCAGAGTCAGTCCCACTCACTCTGGGCTCCTGGCCCTCTGAACCCGGAGTCCAGACTGGAGCTCAGCTGTGGGGCTGGGAGTGTGAAGCCTGGATCTACCGCGAACTCTGGAGAGTCCAGCCAGCTCTGGTGATTCTGAGATGCGACCCTCTTCCCCTCTGTTCACCTCTGGAGGACCACCTGGACCACCAGGTCCCTCCCCAGGCTGGGGACATGTGGGTGACCTGGATTGCCCACTAGTGAGTGGGCACAAAAAAAATCACATCATTCCTTTGAAACTCATAATAACCTTATTCTCTTTTCCCAGGCAACGACACAGGCACTCACCCAAAAAAGGGAGGTTGTACACTATAAATCATTGTCCTCATTTTGCAGATGGGGAAACTGAGGCTCTGAGTGTGAAAGTGATCTTTATTTTTTTTGTTTGTTTTTCTACTCTTTTTAAAATTGTTTTTTATTAAATTATAACTTTGTACATTGATGCATTTATGGCGGAAAGTGATCTTTGTTAACTCACATGATCTGTCTAGTTTGCTGGACCTAATGCCTTGGGCTATAAGATTGTCTGAGCCAGGGAGTCCAGTCTCCAGCCTGAGAATTGGGGCAGGCCAGGACAGAACCTGAGACCAACTGACATTTTTTTTTTTTTTT